TTTTTTTTTCATACTTTTAATTCTGACACTGCACAGGAAGGATAAATACAGTGGAATAAACCGGAAACTGACAGAACTGAAGGAAAATATAAAATACATAACAAAAATTCATTCAAAAAAACTGACAGTCGCTTAACATCCCTTCCGTCGCAACCTGCGCAAAAATTCATGTGCCGAGAAAATCGATGCAAGCACAATGTGAACGTCAATTCGCTGATTGAATGCTACTAAAGTGTACGCCAGCAAAGGCGAATAGTCGTGCAAGCGGTTGTCGTGTTAATTATATAGAAAATAAATGTGTTTAAAATATAATTTTGTGAAAAGAATTTGAAAGGAACTCCGAGAAAGCATATTTACTTGCATAATAGATCATCTATATATCAACGAACTATAAAACAAAGTTCCAGAGAAGAGAGACTCACTTCTCGGAATATCCGATATACTTTTACTAGCACCGTTTTTTTTTTGTAACTTCCTGCATTCCAATAAGAAAAGGTGCTAAAGATTATGGGAGTTACTGATACAACTTCAGAAGATGGTGATTCATGCACCAAAATAACATTAGAAACATTTCGTGAAATTTTTCGCAACATAGAGCCGGAAGTACAAATCGATGCTTTTGAGGTAAAAAAATATATATGTATATTTAAAAAAAAAATCCACAAATACATATGTATGTTTGTATGTATCTACATATATATGTACGTATGTAGATATGTACTTTATATGAATAAAACAATAATGTACATACTGATGGAGTATTGCATTTTTCGCTGAACAATCAGCAAAGGCTCCAAACACGATTTCAGTATTACATCATTGCTAAAGCCTCCGCCACCCAACTCATCTTTCTCTACACATCACACATTCAGTTGATTCTGGGCTACCACAGATGTGTGCTCTTAATTATTACTATAGCTAAGTGTGTAATGCGAAAAGCGAATTGTATTAATTGCGGCAAAATGTTTATTTATAATTCAATAGCAAGCAATTGTCGCAGGGTTGATGGGTCACAGAATCAAATTGCTGTTGCCACTGCGGCTTTTGGCTGAATTGCGGTTAACGCCGCGAGAGGAGAAGCTATGCAGTGCAAACTAGTAATTACGATGGTGTGTAAACTGCAATGTGCACTAGTAATTTGTTGTCTTAATCCGATGCGTTCTGGCGCTTGAACTAGTTAATTTTCTTGAATGAATGTATGTATGTTGTATGTTGTATTCTTCTACAGGAGGAGCAAGGGTCGGGCCGCGGTGACAACTATACAGCCACTTTATACCGCACACATCTTAGTGGGCAGCGAAAGAGCACAACAGACGGTAAAAAACAAAAATGGGAAAAGAATTTAATCTGTAAGCGATTGCCGGAAGATGTTCAACGCCGTGAAGCTTATAAGAGTGATAAGCTGTTTAGGTGAGTTTGAATACTCTCAAAATGCTCCAAGTACAAATTGAGTATGTATGTGCATATGTATGGGTAGTATGTATGTACATATACATATGTATATTTGAACTCGTTAAAAAAATATTACGGCATATAAAATACTGTGCGTCGGCCGGGAATCGAACCCGGATCAACTGCTTGGAAGGCAACTATGCTGACCATTACACCACCGACGCCACCGTTAAATCTTCGCCAAATTTTATACACATACACACATATGTATGTATGTATGTACCTGAAGTTACCATATCGTTGATTAAAGCGGAAGTAAATAGAACTGAAAGCAAAAGTTTGAACCATTTTATAAATTTCTTAATAACACTTTAAATTATAAATTTCTAGGAATGAGGTTTTATTTTATACGGAAATATTACCGGAATTATTGAGATTTCAATGCACAAAAACGGAAAAGGCTTTTGAAGCTACTCCCAAATGTTTTTATGCGCGGGGAGACCTTTTGATAATGGGTTTGTATAAGGAACTTTAAAATGCATAATCCTCCACAAGCAATAAATCGTTTAAACCCATTCCAGAGGACTTACGAGTACGCGGCTTTCAAATGACTGATCGTCAGAAGGGTCTTACCTTAGATGAAACTCGCTTAGTATTGAAACAGGTGGCTCAATTCCATGCTTTAAGCTTGGCGTATAAGTTTGAAAAACCTGCTCAATTTGAACGTTTGCGCGCACTGGTAACAGAGGGACTTTTCTGTTCCTCAAATGAGAATTGGTACAAAAATTACTATGAACGTTTAACAAAGGACGCCATTAAAATGGTAAGCTCTTCAATGACGATAATAATGCGATGCATGCATATGAATGCCTACTTACATAAATATCGTTACCGTATTATATAAAGACCCTAACATATTTTTTACTACATCAAAAATTGTGTTTCTTTGTTTTCTTAAAACCAGTTAGGGAGTTCACAAGGTGTTGTATACTGTCATATTGTTGTACATATGTCGTAAACTTAAAACGGCTAAAACTATGTTTAAGGAATTCGCAAGCTACCATAAAAGTCGTATTATGAAACTTCACACGGTTAAAAAATATTTAGTTGTAAAAAAATTTAAACTGAAGAAGTTTTATAACTACTCTGTAAAGAAACATTTATGTTAGATAGGGCTTATATGAAGGTAACGATATGGATGTATGTTCATACTTAAATCCTATGTATGTATGTTATTAATTTTTTTTTTTTAGGTTTCCGATGTTTTACCAGATGAATCTAAATATTTGGATGCAATGAGGAAATTCGCCGGTTGTTCGTCCTTCTTTTCACAAATGGTTTATTTAGTGAGTACCGAATCCGCACTATCGGCAATTTGTCACGGTGATTGTTGGGTCAACAATTTCCTCTATCGATACGAATGTGTCGATGATATCACAGAACAAAAAAATGCTGTTGAGGTAAAATATTTTAATGGATTTACGTTTAAAAAATTACCATGTAGCTACGTAAAAAATTTCTTTAGGTTTGCTTAGTGGATTTTCAGCTGATACGATACAGTTCCATTGCGTTGGATATAGCAAATTTACTATTTTGTTGCACAACCAAAGCGATGCGTGATGAACATTTAAACGCCTTCATTAAATTATATACATCCGAAGTTTTTAGTTGGTTGAAAACATTGTGCACACACATACCAGAATCATGTGACAGCGCCGACAAGTTTGCAAAATTGTACGTTTCTTATAAAAAATATTCCGATTTATTTACATAGCACAAATAAGTATACATTTAGATTCTATAATTAATTTATAACTCATTTGCAAAATTATTATTATAAAACTTCCTGAAGATTTCGCGAGGAACTGAAAACCTATGGACGTTTTGCGCTTGGTCTTGCTTTGGATATATTACCAATGTCAACTTGCGCATCGGAACATGCACCGGATATGTACTTAAATATACATCACGACGAAATGGAAACTGGTGCGCCAATTTTGAATTTTCCGCCCAACGATCTTTGCCGACGAAAAATGACCGATATAGTCATTGACATGGTCGATAGGGGAATGCTCTAATGAGATGATTTTCCTGATACATATTACTCTTCGAAAACTAGGCTAACAACTTTTCTGGCAGTATCTATACGTCAAAAGTTAGAATCCGGCATAAGCTTAGGTAGCATAAATGAATGTTAACACTGCAATTAAGTTTCCTTAAGCATACATACTACAATATATTGAACTTAAGAATTACTTTTAGCTGCGGTTTACAATATACGTATTGTAGAATTGATATAAGTACATATGTATATGTTTACATAATAATGCACACAAAGAAGAATATGTATATGTATACATATAAGTACATTGTTGTAAGCTAAGATTATTGGTAGTTACATGCGTGTTAGAATATTGGCTCTTTGAATATGCGATAATCTCTAACTTAAATAATGTATTTAGTATACTAAATTTAAGAACTGTTAATGCGGTATGACTGACTTGTTAAATGAAGTATTTAAATTGTATGTCATTGCACACTTTCTAATTAAAAATTATTTTCATATGTAACTATTTTATGTGCATAATATGCATGTATAAACGTTTCTAATTCATATTTCGAGCTGTATTTGCGCACATCCGAGCACAATTAAAGACATGTTAAGCTGCAGGTCGCGTCAGCGATTAGCAATGTTGCGGAAACTCTCTGACTATACCCACGTATTAATTCTATTGCCTAGAAGTATTAGTTAACTGTATTTGGTATTTTTATTTAAATGAAAAACTTGTAATAAAGTGTTATACATTTAGTTCGGTATGAATCGATATATTACGAAGGGATAGAAAGGCCTATACATATTATGTATAAGCATGAGTCTAAAATTTAAAAACAAACACAATTTTATAAATATAAACTATGCGGCTCAAGCGCAGAACTAACTTTTATTAAGAGTGCTGAAATATACTCAAGCGTTTGACTCTTCAAATTGACAATAACAATTTGTAATTTTTATAAATATTACATATTGGCACATACCAAGGCATATCAAACAGGTAGTAACATTAAGAGCAAAAACAACATTTGTGTGTTACTTCTGGTATCGAAAGTGTCAAAATCTGTGAAATACCGGAAAGAAAAAATTGAAATTGAAAAATAAAAATTGTTGCATCTTGCGTTCTTAGTAAATTTGTTTGCTTCTCGAAGCATTGATCCATCCTTTGCATTGCCCAGTAATTAGCGTTTGTGCTGCTGAGTTGGGCGAACGTTTCAAAAGCTGCTATTCAATCGCTTCTTTTGGATGGAAAAAGGCTTCACATGCAGAGATTTTAACAATTTAGAATTTTTTAAGAAACTTAAAATATTTGACATTTTCGAGACCAAATTTGAAAAAATCAAATCAGCCCTAACTCATTTTCTTTTCAAATCCAGTACCTACTGTTGAAAAAGTCTGCCGATTACTCAATAAAAACCCATTGGTTTTTAAAAATAACTAATACAGTTTAAAATTAGTTATATTATTCAACAAGAAAAGCCTTCGAAAGAAATTCGCAGCCAAAGGACTCGATTTTCTATGCAGCTTTTTCATCACCCCATAAAGAAACCAAAAAGTTAGATAGGGCCTTTCTATATTAAGGTAACGATATGTATGTACGTATGTATTTATAAAAGAGCAAACAATTTGTAAAATGTTCCAATGCACATTCAAGAACTGACTACTTATGTTTTTATGTAGCAGAGGAACGCTATCCCATACATGGTATGCAATTTAAATAAAAATAAACGCTATAGCACGAATTATGCATATAAATACATACATTTTGTATTTTTTATTAGTATTCTAATTAGTAGTCGGCCTTCGCAGTCCAACTGGATTTTGTGGTTAAATTTCCCTTATCACAGTTATTACGTAAAAAGCGTAGTCCTGCTTCAATAGAACGTTCGAGTTCATTGCCTGATTTCGACTTCTTAGCATGCGTCGATGGAGCATAATCCAGGTCTACTGGCGGAGGTATAGCCGCACCTGAACGCTGGTAATCCGTGTTCTCCTCGGTATCATTTTGTGCTTCATAGTTACGTCTTTGGAAAGTCTTACTTCTTTTCGATGTCTGATAAATGGCGAAATTTTCGGCAGCCGACGCAGATGGCGTCATATTGTATTTGTCGGTAGAAAGTAATTCATTTGGAGGATGCATGCTTGTGAAATTCCTACGTTTAGGATGGTATTGCCTCTCTGGCGAATCATTTACAGGTCCAAATTCTGCAACGCGTTCTCCACGTTTCTTTTCATTCCACTCTTCTTGTGACATGGGCAATCGTTCTGGTTTATATATCCATTTTGGCTCAGGCTCTCCATTTTCTTCGACCGTAGTGTTATCAGTTGCGCATTCTTTTTCTTTATCCCATGGTCGCACGTGAAGTTTTCGCTCTAAGTCACGTTGCTTTTCCTCCCGCTCCTGTTTTCTTTGCAACTTTTCGGCCCTCTTGCGAGCTTTACGTTCTTCTTTGGTCTCCTTTTCTTTATTTACAATCTCTTCCTTCGTTTCATTTTCCTCAAGCGGTGGCAAACCAAGACGCGCACGCTGTCTATTCTTCGCAGCACGAACCCGCTCAGCTACAATTTTTTCACGATGTGCTCGGAGTTCATCGCGCCGCTTTTGTTCTTCTAATGTACGCTTTCTTGTTTCCTCTAATTCTTTCTGCTGCTTTTTGCGCTCTTCTTCGTCTGTAGAGAATGCATAATAGCCGACACCGTGCTGTCGAGCCTCATCGAAGAAAACATCTTGGTAATGAACATCTGCTTTATCGATATTTTCTTGTTCCTTACGCTCCCAGTTAGCGCGTTGTTCATCATGTTTGGACATCATGGAAACCCCATCGCCGAAAACACTTTCGCTTGGCATGGGACCAATTGGCGCATCGACGTCTTCCCCACTAACATTAGATACGTTTTTAGAATTTAGCATCCAATTAGCTTTAGTCTGATCCAATCGCTCGGGCATGCTGGCTGCTAATTCTGCGTCTCTGCGCTGTACTACTTCCAAATCCTTTCGCAAACATTTTCGTGTGCGACCCAAACAATCAGTATATTCCACCCAGTCATCTTCATCCTCATGACTATTGTCAACGTCACTTTCGCTGCGACTGTCTGAATCTGATTCTTTTGCTTCATTCGAGCTTCCATGATTAGGCCTCTCCATCTCTTCAATTAATGCATCGTCTACACGGTCGTCCTGGTGCTTACGATTGAATAATACTAAGCAATTATCATCAGAGTTGAGTTGGCCACCGGTGCGGGACATACGTTCATAGAATTTACTTTTCGCTTCCAGTACACGTCGAGACTTTTCCAGCAACTCTGAATCTTCGTGTTCATAAACGGTAGCACCTTCAAGTTTGTCGACCTCTTTGGCACGTTCCTTCTTATCCCTTTTGGAGACACTAGCGCTGCTAGAGGTTGCTTGAACAATGTTTTTTGAGGAATATTCGTTCTGCTGATTGGGTGCTTGAATTGCCTTAGCTTTGTTTACTTCAGCTTGTTTGCGTAGAAGTTCAGCTTTTAAACTTAAAAGTGAAGATAAATTAACGTTGATGACCTTGTTTGGATCATTCATGTTTTTAATAATGTTTGCAGACAAAATATAAAACAATTGTTTTCAGAAAATTAAGTGGAATTAGAGATGTAAAAAGAATCGTGCTATCTGATATCGCAGTATCACAAGCTATCGATGTATGTACAAATATCAATGAATCGATACAATATACATACGGTGACCATATTAATTTGAGCCGATTGGAAGACAAAACATATTTTTGCAAATTTTTTCCACAACAGCTTACAGATCTTAAAGCCTTCTTCAATTTTCCTAGGTGTTTTAGCCCTGAAACAGTATCCTTACAGTAACATCACAAATTTGTAGGATAGTTTTCTGGAGAATTTTACCCCGTAAGATTTATTAAAAGAAATCGTTAAATTTTATTATAATAATGTGCAATTTTATGTCGCTAAGGCTTATCATTAATTGTTGGAATTTTTTTTGTTTATGGTGTTACGAAATTTTTCAAAACAATGTTAATATGTTCAACCATTTTTTTTTTTTCAAATAGAAGCAAATGAGGAGCACTTTCCACCCGCACTTTATTATACTCAATTTTAGTTAGCTACAAAAATGCAAACCAATTTTTTTTCTAAAGATTCTAATTAAAAAGTTTGATATTTTAATGAAATATTGCAGAATTAATTTTTATTTTTTATTTTTGCACAAAGTTGGAAATTTGGTATTTGGTTTTTGTTAGGAAAAGAGCTTTACTTTCATAAAATAAATAATAAACATTAAATGAACTAAGGAAAAGTAGCCAACACTTACAAAAATATTGAGTTCTAATTTCTATTTTGGTCATGCATTCCCCGATTCGAATCACAGCCATTCAGATTAAAAAATAATAACTGTTTATGGAGAAAATTAAGATCATATACCAAAATCCCTATAAAAGTTTATAAAACCATTTGATCTTGAAATGAATTTATATTCAGCATTTAATCAGCAAAAAATAGGCAATCGGAATATAAATTCATTTCAAGCACAAATGCTTTTATAAACTTGTATAATAACAAAAGAAAAACGGCCGATGCCGATTCTTTTGGCCGATACTAGCCTCAGCAGTGGCCGATTAATCGGTTGGACTCTAGTCGAAACACCGAATACGGGACAAATACAGGACATTAAAAGAAATACAGAACATTTGGACACCGGACACCGACGCCGAAGCCGAACATTAAAGTTTAGTTTCAAGTTTCAAAAATAATAGATCTGTGATTTTTGATTCCGTAACAAATTATTTTTATAATTTTTTAAATAAAAGAAACATCACACAAACATACATAGTTGAAAACAAAAACAAAAGAGGCAAAAAAGTGCAGTCTTGACGTTAAAAACATTTTAAGGACTTGAATAACTTTTTCAAAATCAATTTGAGTATAAACTGGCACTGAAAAACTGGCCCTAAGAGATTTAATCGTCTATTTAATTAAAAAAAAAATATTCGCAATCGGAATGCAATCGCAACCAGAGTCGATTTAAGAAACCCTACAGCTAATACCATACGGAAACATGAACCAAAAAGACAAGATCACGCGGGCTGGAGACTAGCCCGTTGGAATGGCATTTAGGAAAAAAGTTGAAAAGTTGAGTTTGTTTACATTTCTTCGTTGTTTACAATTTGGTGGTGGCTTTTTACTGCAATTTTCTTCATTTTCACTTGTGACAACGTGTGTACACATAAGATAAAGAATAATTTAACACAACGGCATGATTTATAGAAGAATTTGCATAAAAAAAATGATTTTTCATGCGTTCAACAATTTCGCGGTTTTCTCCGTTCTCTTCGTTGTTTACTTCTTACAACAAAGATGGCGTCGAGATTTCGGCAGCTAGAAAATAACTTTTTTCGTTTTTTCCTTCCCGCGTGATCCTGTGTCTTTCGTTCATGATACGGAAACATGAACGAAAGACACAAGATCACGTAAGAACAAGAGAGGGAAAAAAGTCGATTTTTTTAGCGGGTTCTACGCCATCTTGTTTCACTGGAAAACGAGCGAAAAGTAAACAAAGCAAAGAAAACAACGAAAACCAAAATTTGCCAAAATTATTGTCAGCCACTTTAAACGCACAATTTAGGTAAAATGATGCAACAAAATGCTTTAAAATGTGTTGTCATGTTGAATTAACTCTTCTTTACTTGAATAAAAGTGTAAAATAGTGTTGCTTGTGATGTAAACAAACGCTCAGCTGACGAACCCGCTTTCGCAAACTTTTTTCTCAAAACCAGTTACAAATACAACGTCGCGTTCTTACGTGATCTTGTATTTTTGGTTCATGATACGGAAATGGAAATGTATCATGAACGAAAGACACAAGATCACGCCTTCCTGAAAGAAAGAAAAAAGTTATTTTCTAGCTGTTGAAATCTCGACGCCATCTTTGTTGTAAGAAGTAAACAACGAAGAGAACAAAAAAAACCGCGTAATTGTTGAATGCATGAATAATCATTTTTATTGTGCAAATTCTTCTACAAATCATGTCGTTGTGTTAAAATATTCTTTACCTTATGTGTGCACACGTTGTCACAAGCGAAAATTAAGAAAATTGCAGTAAAAAGCCACCACCAAATTGTAAACAACGAACAAATGTAAACAAACGGCTAATGTCAAAGTCGCCCAACTTTTTTCCTAAATGCGATTATAACGGGCTACTAAGAAGAAGGCGTGATCTTGTATTTTTGGTTCATGGAAATGTATGTTAAAGAAAGAAAGAACAATAAAAAATATACATGTTTATCCTATTTTTTGTCCGTCTGAACGAATTTTAAAAGTTCTATAAAAATGTATTATGTTTGAAAGGCAACCGCTTTCAGCTGGCAGGGAAACCTGAAAATTCCTGCAAATTTGCGTTCGTGCAGAAATTTGCAAGTTTCTCAACATGAGAGAGAATTCGGGAGAATTTTTTCTTAGGTCGGTGTTATGCAGACAAACTTTTGTTTGCCAAATTAAATGGCGGCTGCTTAGTTTGCTCGGAGGTGGTTATGTCGAGTTTGGCACAGGGTTGCACGTTCATTATGGTTTTCATGGCTATTGCCAACACGAAATGAGAATTTCAGATGTACATAACGCGCAAAATTTAAAATTTTTGTATATGACAACACCGAATTTGCTGCAGTTTGACCAAACAAAATTAGTTTGCTGTGAGAGTCGCCAAACTCGCTCTCTCCGAGTTTGCTGCAACAACAATTGCACGCAGTTTGCCAAACAAAATTTCTGCATAACACCGACCTTACTTTCTGATATTTTGAGTGTTGGATAATTCTTGCTGGATTTTCGATGAGCAAACCTATTGTCTAATGTAAACGCGCCGTTACCAATCCCAAAAATTACACACACCCACACAAAAAACACACATGCTCGTCATTTTCTGACATTTATCTTGGTACGCTTTACTTGCAGTTTTTGCCGTATGCTTTTAAACTTGTGCAAGGTGCGACAATTAGCTCGAAAAATCCAAATTTTATTAACATTCTTGTGGAAAAAATAAATGTAATGGCCAGCCAGTGATTTTAATTTTTCAACGGCCAAAAAATCGACTGTGTGGCAAGCGATATACATACGTTAATTGGTGGCAAGATCATATTCCATAAAAAATTTCTCGTACTACGGTAGCGGCAAATGTATAGAACCTCAGAGAGAAAAAATAAGTAGACATAAAAGTTTTAAGCAAGTATATTCAGTTCAAATTACTGAAAATTGTTGAATACTCCTGAAAAAAACCCTTTCTGTTAGGTTTTTCCAAATTCGACTTAAGCAGTACCTTGTGTAATAAACCAAGAGGAGGAGGTGTGAGAAGGCGTTGGTAAAAAAGTAATTGAAGTTAATACATATTCGAAATATCGGGCTGCGAAGGAAAAACAAAATTATTTATCTAGTAGCAAAATCACTTTGTGAAACTAATCATCTTAGAACAGAATCCTAAAGTGGTGAGATGTCGCAGCACGTGCAAGATGCCACTGTCTTTGAGCGACGGTTGCGGCCAATTTATGGTGAGTGTATGGGGACACGTGCATATTAGAGCATGTGCATGTATGCGTTAGCGGATACATGACTGGGATACAAGATACCAATGATTTTTTTCTTAAATGAATCTAGTTCTGAAGTTTAAAATTACGATTCATTTTACATTTCTAGATAGTCTGGAAGTTGGAAATAACCGCAAAGCTCTTCAAGAGACCGAAAAACTCCTTAAAAAACATCCAAATATGTGGTGTGCTCGTGCATTAAAGGCATTGGCTCTACTGCGTTTGGGTCGATATGATGAGAGTCAAGTCATGTTAAGAACTGTGAGTAGCGAGAAGCCGGTGGATGATCCAACACTACAAGTTCTATCTTTCTGCTACAAAGAATTGGAACAATGTAAGTGTTTCTTGCTTCGATGTTCTTGCACGCTCCTATCGTCTGTATTTGTATACTAGAAAGCTTAAATATCCGAATTTACATATATATGTATGTACATATATACTTGAACGACTACCCTGTAGGGAAATGAGTTGTACAAAGTTTGAATGTTTCAGGATTTAGTTTTTAGATTGTCAAAATAAGATTAGCAGTAGGGTTATTTTCTTGTACACAATTTAAATTTGATGAAATATGGTGAAATAATTAAGTTTGCGTTTCAGTATCGGCTTCGAGGGTGACGGTAACTAAAAAAAATCTTTTGATTCCGCCATTAACAGCGCTCTAAAACGATATATATTTGCAGATAGTTACCTTCATATAGCAAGGCCCTAACTCATTTTCCTTTCAAATCCAGCACTGTTGAAAAGTCTGCCGATTAATCACTAAAAACAATTGGGTTTTAAAAATAACCAATGCTGTTTGACAGCCTTCGAAAAAAATTCGCAGCAAAATAATTTGATTTAAAAAATAATGTACATTATTTGATCGCATCTCTCAACTTTTCGTTGATGGAGTTAATCAATTTGTGCACTGAACGGCTCATATGTAAATGCTACTTTTTGTATCTACTCGTATGTAAAATATATTAGAACGTATCAGAAAAGTAGCATTTACATATGCAAACACATATCGTGTAAGAGCGTACTAAAGAAAAAAAAAGGCTGTTTAGTTGGCAATGAAAATAGTAAGAAGGTATGGTATAGACAAATTTAA